TTTTTTTTTTTTTTTTTTTTTTTTTTAGCTTTCTCCTTTCTGTTACTTTTGAGCCTGGTGAACAGTTACTGCTAAAAACAAGTGGAAGTGGAGCTGGCTTTGCCAAGCTGTGGGCCCTGTGGGACTGTCACCTCAGAAATGTCCAGGAGATTTGCTAACTCTTGACAGAGGGGCGCTCGGGCGGGGACACACTTGTGTCAGAGGCGAGGAGCATCAGTGCTGTTCTCTGATGTGGGGCATGGGGTGGGAGACACCTAGGCGGGCGGCCTCCTGTTAGACCCGTGTCCTTGGGTGTGTCACTCACGAGGCTGTGTGCTCGCTGGCACCAGGTGAGGGCGGTGAACGGAAGAGGAAGAGTGGACGACTGGCAGGCTGGGCAGGGCTCTCGGCCTCGGAGTGAGGGCATCAGGGGGCAGATGAACCGTGCGGACCAGCTGTGGAGAAGACAGCGAGTGCCCACAGCGCCGCATCTGCCGCAGGCTCACCAGTATTAGCTGTCATCTGTAAGCCACTCTGTGAAGAGCAAAAGAACATGGAACTCAGCACCCTCATGTTCCGAGGAACTGGAAATATTCCCACAGCACTGGTGGGAAATGCCATAGTTTTACTCCTTGTGGAAAATGTTTTTCATGTCCTTGAGGGGACTTACTCAGCAACATGTATAAATACATATGCTTGTCGTAATTTTCCTTGAACAAAAAGTCACAGATCTTTTTGGCAATGAAAAATAGTTGATGTACTTTATACTAGGTTTATATCACTGCCGTTTAAAATTAATTTTGTGGAACCACGACTGAAAAACGTGAGAGGCCCTGGGTTTGATTCTTAGCATTGGAAAAAAAAAAAAAAAAGAGGATTAAGGGGAGAATTTTTAAGAATTCAGGAAATAATGTCTGGAAGATTTGCCAACAATAAATTGGTAATGGTAATTAACACAATCATAGTTTTTTGTTTTGTTTTTTGAGACAGGGTCTCACTATGTAGTTTAGGCTGGCCTTGAACTTGTGACCCTCCTGCCTCAGCCTACCGAATACTAGAATTACAGGAATCTGTGTCTGGCTCTCCATAAAGATAGTTATGGTTTTAGGTTAGGAGTGATTTTTTTCTCTTATCCCTTATTTTGGAAAACATATTTCTTTAGAATTTTTTTTTTTTTTTTTTTTTTTTGAGAATCAGGACAAGACACACAAAACAAAACAAAACACACCAAACAAAAAACCCAAAAGAGCCAGAACATCTGCCACAGGGGGGCACCTGGGAGTCAGTCCTTGACCCATCTTCCACTTTTTCTCCCTCTGGGGCTCAGTGGTGTCAGCAAAGCCTAAGGTGCACAGCCGGCAGCCCCGGATCAACTCGTATGTGGAGGTGGCGGTGGACGGGCTCCCCAGCGAGACCAAGAAGACCGGCAAGCGCATCGGGAGCTCGGAGCTGCTGTGGAACGAGATCATCATCTTGTAAGAGAAGTCGCGTCCTGCGGTCTGGGGAGAAGGACGAGGGACGGTGCCGGGCTGGGGCAAGGCCCGGGGGCCCTGTGCAGCGGATGCTGCCTGTCCCCCGCGGCCCCTCAGGCTTGCTGCCTTCCTGAGCTCACAGAGCTGTCATTGTTAGCCGGGGTTTCAGGGTCAGCGCGGGGGGACAGGGCCAGTGCGGGTTCCCCAAAGATGTCAGCAGGGTGGTTTCACGGTTTTCTCCCTGGCTGCAGGGGTGGGGAGGTGATGAATCAGGTACTTGTTTTCCAGGAATGTAACGGCCCAGAGTCATTTAGATTTGAAGGTCTGGAGCTGTCATACCTTGAGGAATGAACTGCTAGGCACGGCCTCCGTCAACCTCTCCAACGTCCTGAAGAACAATGGGGGCAAAAGTACGTACCGGGTACGGGCCGGGGAGGCCGGTGCCCCGGCTGCGGGTGCAGGACGGCAGAGGGCGACTTGCCACCACCCGGGTGTCAGCGAGGCGCGGGACAGGACTGGGCAGGGCTGCTCCGTCTCCCTTCCCTTTGGGACTCCGGAGGCCTTGGCGTGCCGAGCTAAGCTGTCCGTGCCCCCACCCGGGTCGCCGGGTTGCTGCTGCCGCCCGCGGGGACAGAACAGGCTGTGCACACGTGCTCCATCCCTTAGCGTGGCGTCCCCTGAAGCCGCTACCCCAGCAGCCACGTGTGGGGACCGAGTGTGCGGACCGCGCCTGCCCCTGAAGGCTGATGTCCCCAGCGCAGTGTCCCGAGCCTTTGCTTCCTGGTCCCACCTGTGCTTTCTGCGCCCTTGCCGGCCTTTTCCTTGGGGGTCTCTCTTGATCCTGCGGGGAACCCCTGGTATGGTGCTTGGTCTTCCTGACGTGGTCTTTATTTCCCAAACCCTAACTTGCTTTTTGTGCTTCGTTTATCAGAAGATCATATTTACTACACTTGGGAATACATTTCTGGACGTTCACACAGGGTGCAGAGCCAACACGAGGGGCCTTTTCTTGCCTTTTTCTTTTGTCCACTCACCGCAGGTACTTCAGTTTTGTCTGTGGTGCTGCTGCAAATACAGGCCCTCGTGTGCCAGGCAAGTGCTGCATCACAGAGCCTCATCCCCAGCCCCAACGTGGGACCTTGCCCTTGTGGAGCAGGGGCGGAACCACTGAGCTAAATCCCTGGCCCGTACTTCAGCTTTTGATTATAGAAGTAATCGTAGAAAGCCAGGTCGCACATTCTTGCAGTCCCAGCATTTGGGAGGCTGAGGGAGGAGGATTGCTGCAAGTTCAAGTGCAGCCTGAACTACATAGTGAGACCCAGTCTCAAAAAAAAAAGTAATCGTAGAAAAACTGGAAATTATACAAAAGCATTAAATGCACAGAGAAAAAATTTGCCTTTCAGTCTAACACATAGATACAATTACTGTTAACAGTTTCATGTGGATATCCATCTGAGTGTTTTTATCCTTTTGTACAGACATATTAATACAGTGGTACTTTGGTTCATGAATTTAATTTGTTCCATGATTCTGGAGAAAATGGTTTCATGATCATGCAGAGAAAATGGCTGTGGTCTTGTTCCTCACCCAATGCTGAGTTTGTGAAAGGAGGCACTTTTTTTTTTTTTTTGGTATCAGGGATTGAACTCAGGACCTTGCTCTTGTGAGGCAGGCCACCGAACCGCTGAGCTAAATCCCTGGCCAGGAGGCAAAATTTTGCCGAAAGCTTCTATTTGGGTACTGAATTGTTCTCAAACCGAAGCATTCATGAATCAAGGCATTAGTGTATTTATTTCTTTATTTCTATTGAGTTTATTGGTCCTTTTTAGGTATGCAGTACAGTTACATTCATCATTGGGATCTTGGACCTTTACATGATGTGTCTTGGTGCATTACTCTATGACATCAGTGAAACAAAACAAAATTGAGATCATACATGAACATATTATTTTGCAACATTCCCTTTTCTCTTTAAAGTATCTTGGCATATCGGGATTTTTTTTTTTGGTACTGGGGATTGAACTCAGGCCCTTGTGCTTGCAGGGCAAGTTGGCAAAACCACTGAGCTAAATCCCCAGCCCGGCATATCTTTGTTTTTAATTGTGATAAAATGTACGTAACATAAAATTTACCATCTTAACCATTTTCACTTCCAGTTCAGTGGTATTACATACATTTACCTTGTTGTATAGCCACCATCCCACCCATTTCCAGAGTTCTTTTCATCTTACAGAATTTGTCCCCTTTAGACAACTACTCTATATCCCTCTCTTCTCCCAGGCCCTGAAAACCGTCCTCCTGCTTCCATCTCTGTCAGTTTGTGCTCTGTGTGCCTCATGTAAGTGGAAGCCTAACATATTTGTTCTTCTGTGACTGCCTTGTTTCACTCAGTATGATGTGCTCAAGGCTTCTTGTTGCACTGCATGCTGGGATTTCCTTCCTTTTTAAAGGTTGAATAATATTCCACTGCAGGAATATTACATTTTGTAATAAATAAGCACATTTTGTTTATCCATCTTTCATGGATGTTCATGTGGCTTCTAGCTTTTGACTATTGTGAATAATGTTGTAAACATTGGTGCAAATGTCCCTCTGAGACCCTGCTTTCAATTCTTTTGGCTACTCACAATAGACTGCTGGAGCAGGTATGCATTTATTTGTTGCTTGATTGATTACTGAAGTACTGGAAACCAAGGTCTTATGCATGCTAGATACTCTGCCACTGAGCTACATCCCCAGCCCTTATTTTATTTTATTTTATTTTTTGAGACAGGGTCTCGCTGTGCAGCTCAGGCTGGCCTTGAACTCACTGTGTAGCCCAGGTTAGTTTTGGACTCACAGCAGTCCTCCCGCCTCAGCCTCCCAAGTGCTGACCTTATATACAGGTGTGTGCTACCATTCTTGGCTTCTAATTTTTGATTTTTGAGGAACTGCTTCTGATATCCAGGTCTCCTGCTTCATAAAGATGTATCAACATATTTCAAATTATCCTTCTGAAGTCCTATTTTTGATCTTTCGATACAGGGTCTTGCTATATAGCCCAGGCTGGCCTGGAACTCATGATAATCCTCCTGTTTTGGCCTCCCAAGTGCTGGGATTACAGGCCTGCACCACCACACCTGGTTTAAAGTTCACCCTCCCTCTCCCCATGCTGGGGATTGAACTCATGACCTTGCGCTTGCAAGGCAGGCAAGTAGATCCTTGGCTTTAAAGTTCAATTTTTGATGACTGTCTGGTAGTAATATGTATTATATAGCTGTGTGAAAATTTAATGTTGAACATTTGAGTAATTTTCAATATTTGACAGTCATAAACACAGCTGCGATAAACTTAGAAATTTATAAATTTTTGCTGGTTTCCAGATGTTTACTTGGGATAAGTTATCAAACATAAACTTGGCCGGGCTTGCACATTTTTCAGAATTTTTGACACGTGTTGCCAGATTACCCCTGAGGAAGTTCTACCAATTCACCCTCAGCAACAGGGCTGAAACGGCGGGTTCCTACCACACCTTGGTACGCATAGGATATTACTTATTTAAAAAATTATTTATTTAAAATATTTATTTAATATTTGTTAATTATTAACATTATGCTGGACTTGCCTCTTGGCTAGATTATTTTAAAGTAAATTGTAGGTGTCCCTACGTTTTATCCTGGGTTCTTCACACGTCATGGCATAAGGGACAGTCTGCGTCCTTAGCATGCCCTGTCACGCCCTGCACTATTTGCACAGATTTCCTCATCGTGTGGCCTCCTCAGTGCACACTCGGTCACAGCAGGCTCACAGACACCGTGCGAGTGTGTGCAGCCGGTTTCCTCTCTCGGCCCCTTCCTGTGTGCGGCTGCTCCGTCTCTGAAGCCCCTTCTTCCACATCACGTCCACGCCAGGACTCCTGGCAGGGTGCAGAGTGTTTTAGAAATGTGTTTTATTGCCCTCCTCGTGTCCTTTGCTAACTTTTATATTCAAGTGTGAATTTCTCTTGTTTGGCTGTGAAAGAGTTCTTTATATGTTCTTTATAAGTTCTTTATAAGCTATTCTTGTCTTATAATTTGCAAGATTTGGTTTTCTAGTTTTTTTTTTGGTACCGGGTACCCAGGTCCATACACTTGCTTGCGAGGCAGTCTGCAGAACCATTGAGCTAAATCCTCGGCCCTGTTTTTCCAGTTTTTCAATTGCATTTTAACCCCTTAACAGTTTACCCTGAGCATTCTCAGGAAGCGTTATTTCAACCAATTGATTCTTGTATTAAATCAATTTGATAAAATTAACATTTATATATTTCCTGTTATAAAAATTAATGGAGGAATATGCAATTTTGGTCATCCTGTATTTAAATGATTGGACTGGTAGGTGGTTAACTTTGTAGTTCTTTAAAAATTCTTTTGCCCAAGGAGGTATTTTAAGCTTTTTATAGGCTGACTATTTCCTTTATATTTTCAAACTTGTCTTTTATGTTTTGGAAAATAATTCCATTCTGAAATCCTGGTGTGTAGTCACTTATTTTTTCCTAGTTCTTGATTTTTCACATTTAATTCTTCAACCAAATGTAATTTTTTTGCACAGTGTGATTAGATATTTAATTTGTTCCTTAGTGATTGACTGTGGCTTTTGTACTACTTGCCGAATAGTCCGTCTGTTGCCCGCTATGACTCTTGTTGCCCTGTTCAGCATATTTTGTGCACAGCTGCTGGTTAAGGGAGTTTCTACTTCACCCGCTGTCTGATTAGCCTTTCTGAACCACTGTAGCTTAACTGTTACAAAATTATATTTTAATATTTGGCAGTTCAAGTTTTTCTTTTGTTAGAATCTTCTTAGCTCTTCTTCTTCTTTTTTTTTCCTTTGGTACCTGGGATCGAGTTTGGGACCTTGCACTTGTGAGACAGGCAGCAGCACCACTGAGCTAAATCCCAGCGTCTTAGCTCTTTTCTTTATATCCGTGGCATCATTATATTATTTACATTATTTTTGTAGCCTGTGCCCCCTTTTTTTTTTTTTTTAATTTTATTGAGTTTATTGGTACATTTTAGGGATACAGTACAGTTACATTCATTGTTGGGATCATGTACCTCTACATGGCAAGTCTTGATTCTCATTTTTTCCCCTTACCTCTGCCCTCCCTTCACCCCCTCCTCCCCTCCCCATCTACAAACACTTTATTTTCATCTTTTCATTCTCTCACATTTTTTCTTTTCCCTTTTTGTTCTTCCCCTACGCATCACACCTTCCCTACACCTTTAGCTCCTTTCTTCAAATTTCTAAATGTCAGTAATCTTATTAGAATCTTATGCATTGTTGCAGATTATTCACACCAGGGAAACTATTTGGTATTTACACATGTGTGACTTATTTATTTCACTTAGGAGTATATCTTCAATATGTATCCATTTTCCTATGAATGAATCTATTC